TCCCGTTGATCTGCAGCCGTTTGGCTTTAATATGAGGTTCGGGTTGATGCATTCCACGAGACATCCTTACTCCCTTCGGGTCAAAATAGGTTGAGCTTTCGTTTCTAATATGAAGAACACCATCAGAGCTGGGGTCATTTTTGCAAGTCTCAAGGTATCACCAAGGCCGACATGCTACATGTACTCAAAAAATTATTTTTTTTAGATATAGGTCTAAATAGAATGGTTCGATTACTTCTCCTATATTCGAGTGAATGTGCATGCGTGTGTCTATATGTTAAGGTCTGTACGCAATACCGGCAATAATTCAGAGTTAGCTCCGGCCTATCAAGGCATAATTACCCAAGGAAATCTATGACCGAGCCTACGAAAGTGCATAGGTAACTCTGGTTGAATTGATGAGATGTAAGCATGTACGTGTGAAAGTTAGGTTGCAAAAACACCAGTCAGACCCTGTTAGCCTGAAATTATCAAGATTCAATGATCCAAGAAAATGCATGACTGAGATTGTATAATCTCGAAAGATCTGGTTTGTTTGGTGAGCTAAACATGCCTGTTGAACGAGTAAATTTATTTAGAACCATCGCTTACTCTTTTATTCAATCAAGCATGAGTAATTCTCACTCAACTTTCTGACATACTTCTACAATTAAACATATTCCCTAACCTATTAATTTCAATAGCCTCTTTTCTTGCATTTCGTAGCAGCAAAACAGCTCATCAGGCAAAACAGATGTACGAGATTACGTATTAAAGCTAAACGGCTGCAGAACAACGGGAATCAGCCATCGTCTTCTGGCGAGATCGATCTACGAATCTCTTAAGCATGCTCTTTCATGAAAGCTGAAAGTCTTCACAACAATTTTATCTCATACGATTCTTCGAAACATGCCTTTTCTTCTTACATACAATGATGAATATTTATTGTTAATTTTGTCATCTAGAGACCTTAAATTCACATATAAATAGGCGAGTGAATTACATTAAAATCATTAAGGAATCTCAAACTACGGGCCATTTGAGTTAGGAGACGAAAATGATTTTTAGATTACCTCTTTAAATTAGGTAAGATAATATGCCTCAATATGTTTGATCGCTTCTTGGTTTTAATTTATCAAATTCTAAAAATGGCAGGTCAGCATAGTTAAAAATAATAGCTAAAGCTATAAATTAGCACATTGATTTAGGTAGAATGTAAAGATAAAGATAGGCCAAAGCATAAAATGGTAAAGGATAGATTAAATGGTTGCAATTTTAATGGCACACCTGCGCTTTCAGGAACGGATGGTACCAGGTCCTCCAAGTCGAAAAGTTCGCTCGCATAACCTTCGTATTCTACATTTCCAAAATCCAACTGAAAAGCGTTGACAAAAGCCTGAAAAAGCGTGTCATCTATATTAATTACGGAATCCAGCTCGCCAAATACCACTTCAGTCATCCCACCAACTTGAGACTGCTGACCTATAGCCGAACCTACTGGCGGACTTGGCGAAGCCATTGAAATGGGAGTACTGGCTCCAGATGGTGCCGGCACAGCTAGGTTAGGTACAGCAGATGTAAGAGCCAGAGGTGCTGAAGTTACTGTAACTACAGACACAGACGAACTACCATTGTTGACGCCACCTGTGCTGGAGATAGTCGCCGTGTTAGGAGTAGTCCATTGCCCTGCAGTGAATAGTTGCATAGGCTCGAATGGAGTAGTCAACAAAGAAACACCGACTGTGCCAGTGGGAGTGGGTGGAACCGGCCTGGTCAATGCTAAGCCGGTGCTGCTTGAGTTGCCACCAGTCCCAGCTGAGGCAGGTCCAACGCCACCATCAGCAGCTACAGCCGCAACAGATAGTAAGCTAGGAGAGCAAAGACGATCAGCATCAGCGTGTGGATCATCATCAAGTATATTGTCCGAGGATTCAACTTGAAGGCTGGAAGCGGAAGGACGATCATTAGCCCCCAAGGTTTGGACACAGCTACTGTTGAAAACAGGCTGGCTACCGGAGGGATAACGTGCGGAACGGTCAAGAGGCCAACCATGCAAAGTGGCTAAACTGGCAGGAGTTGCGGGTGTTAACGAAGGCAGGAGGGAGACCATATGCTGATGCAGTTCTGGAGGTAGTGCTGGAACCAAGAAAGGAGGTTCGCGGCTAGGTGAGTCAGCGAACCCAGCTGATGTCTGCAAAAGGCGTCGAAAGCCGAGCTCTGGAGAAGTGGGACTCTCGCGCATCATCGGCATCACTTGGATAGTCAATAGAGTAATACGAGAAAATATGATAAAAGTTTTATAGAAATAAAAACTCAAGGCATATATGTAGTATGCTGGCAACAGGTAAATATAAAACTAAAGAAAATCAATACAACAGAAGAATTCTGTCTATTTCGTAAAGAAGGACTGGTAGTTGAATTTTACATAATAATATGAGTATGCTTCACGTTTCCATTAAGGCGCAATCATATCACTAAACAAAAATTCAACTATCATCGCTTCGTTACCTATAGCAAAACAGGATGGAGGCATCTAATATATATGATCCATCGGTGTTCTCGAAATCTACCCATAAGCGCAAAGAAATAATAACTTCATCTAAGATTCGGCAAAGGCTGTG